CCCTCTTCCTCCCTCCTCTTCTTTCTTGCCCTGCTCATGCTGAGCAGCCATTTTCTCCCCAGTTCTTCAGAAGCTCCTGTGCTTGCTGGGGAAGGTGGGAGAGTGTGGGCAGTGTGGGGTAGACAAAGCCCTGGTGACTGATCATATGGAAGACTAAGAAAAGACTTTGAAGGCCTGGTTTTGCCAGGTGACCTGTGGATCACCAGTGCTGAAAGCTCCCTTGCTCTGGGGTGAAGCCTGGGGCGTTAGGCTTGGGCATTAGGCAAGCTCTTCAGAGGGGCACACAGGGCTGGGCACAGAGCCCTGATGTGTTGGAGCCTCAGTGAGCTTCGGGTGGGCACTCCCAGGGAGGCCTTGGAGCCAAGGGTGGTGGTGCTTGAAGGGCTGCCTGTGCACTCACCGGAAGCGCTAATGTTTGTTCTGGACCCTGCGTTTATTTCCTGTTCTACCTCTCCTTGTACTGCAGAGGGGCTTGAATGTCACAGTCTGCGTATGGTTTGAAAGCTAAAACAGCCTAAAACTGTCAAATCTGTTTGTAGCCTTTAAAAGGTGGGAGGCTGCTAGTGACTCATGCAGTTGTTAGTTTATAAAACTTCATCTGGCCATTGAAACACAAGATTCTCTTTCCTAAGGTGTAAGCAAATGCTGTTTGCTGCTACTTTTACTTGCTTATTTATTTAGGTGAACAAAGTATTAAGAAACCATTTAATAAGGCCCCACTGGATGTTTGCAATGGATAACATAATTCGCCGTGCAGTCCAAGCAGCAGTCACTATTCTTATTCCAGGTAAATCAAAGCAGCTGAAAATAATCTCTTTTTTTTTTTTTAAAAAAAAGGTGGCTGTTCGCATATCAAAGAGTTACAGCAAATGGAACAGTTTAGGTGTTTAATCTGTCAGCATGCCATTAACTGCATCCCATGTGCCACTACATCAAAGGTAAAGGGTCAGAATGTTGTGCAGAAAGAAGCGTTGATCTGGAGGATTAATGCTGTACTCGCAGTACAAAAGCACATAATGAGGAGATAACCAGTGGTTCTGCACCACCAGTGTGGTCCAGCCATGACAAATAAAAGACCAATTAAATTTGCAAATTAAATCCAGTCCAAGCAGGAGCTTTTTCTAGGAAGAAAGAAAATGACTCTGTACAACATTTTAATGAAATCCAAGGTGGGTAACACTGCACGGGGTCGGGTTGTGTGTTCTGAAAAACAATTATTGAGCAGTGAAACAGATGCAGAGAAGGGAGTGCATTACTGTGAGGAATATGATGTTGGCCTATGGACGGACAGTAGGAAAAATCACCACCACCCAGAAGCAGGAGGATAAATAACTAAGAACTGTCTAGGAATAAGTCTAAGTTGGAAATCTGCAAGTAGTTTTATAACTAACTTTTTGAAGTGCGGAGCACCCCTTCTAGTATGAGAATGTTCTGGGAGCACTTACTGACAACGAGCCCTTTCAGTCCAAAGTTGCTTTGGCTTTCAAATCAAATCAGCCAAATTTTTTAGGACTTTGTTTGTAGGAGAAGAATGACAGCTATTCTTTGGTGGGAAGGGTGGCCAGTTCTGAGAGGACCAGGGTTAGAAATGCTACCTGGGAAAGAGGAAGGCTTTGTAAACTCTCTGGTCCAGGCCATTAGGGGAAAACAACTCTTTTTTTTTTTTTTTTTTTTTTTTTAAAAGCAAGCTTTCAAGGGTTTCTCATTAATACATCTTATTAACTATCTTATAATTAATTTAATCATAAATGTATTTGTCATCTGTACAGCTGTAATCTACAGCTGCCTACCTCTACAGTACCCTACAGCTGAGCTATTACAGTGCTGCTTATTTTAGAATTGATGCCAGAGAATTTGTGTTCCAGCTCGCATAAGGCTTTGCTACTCCCCTGCTCAGTATTGTCAGAAAGCACACCGTGCAAACAGTCCGGTCCTCCGTACCCCATAATAAAGGACAAGCACTAGTACCTCTGAAGACAGACTTGTCAAAAAGAATTCTTATTCTTAACACTGTTTCATTTTATCAGAGCTCCGAACTCACTTCGAGCCAGCATCAGAAACTGAAGGTGGGGACAAGGACGGTGATGAAGTGGAGGACAGTTACCAGCCCACTGAACAAAATGGGGCTGAGGATCCCACCATCACGTCAGGAGTCAGCACCCTGAGTTCTGTGGTGTCACATGAGGCGCAGCAGCAGCTTAGCCTGGAGTTGGGCAGACTTAAACAAGAGACCTTAAGGTAACCCTTCTGTAAAGACTGTGGGTTTGTTTTCAAGCAGCTTTTGAAAAGCTCTCAGAGGCTGCTTACATAACGTAAGCACTGCTCACCTGGTATGACTGCCCCGTGATACAGCAGACCTTCCAGGAACACAAATGGGAGTCAGCGTACGCTGGCAGCACAGGTATGACAACTCAACAGCCTTCAGTACAGCTTCTGTTTCTGTTGAATTAGTTTTTTAATTGCAGAATGTCATCTTGGCTTTCTACTGTTAAGTAACTGCTCTTGTGCAACTGGGACTGTTTCCTTCCTCCTTCCTCGGCACCTTGGACGGCAGCAGTGTTCTCAAAGCTGTTGCTGCAAGGAGAGGCCAGAGCCCCTCTGGCCTGGCCCACGGGACAACCTGCCCACTGATGAGGACAAGTTGAGCTCAGCAGAGCCCCTGTTCTATTTCTCACAGGTTACATTTGTAGGCTGCTGCCAGTGTGTTAACAGCTAAAGGTCCCATTCTTTACGGATGTGATGTAAATCTGTGATCAGAAAGTCCCTGGTAAAACATCAGTGTTATACTGCTCAGCAGGAAATTACAGTACAAAGGCAGCAACTCTGCCCAGGGAGGCTGCAAACAATAGGAACAGCATTTACAAGCTATTTACTAAATACTGCAAAGATGAAAGCCTTGAAGTGCCACCACTAAGCTGAGTCTCAGACAACCAAAATGAAATCTGTAAGCCATAAACTGTTACGTAAGACAGTATCTCTCAAGTGTCTCTGTCCTTCGGTAGTCATTAAAAAGGGTAAATATTTTTTTCAGCTAGGCTTATTCTCAGTGTTGTTGTGTCTGGTCTCTTTCATGTGCTAAACAGGCTTTTGGAAAACCTCGTTCAGAAGGAGAAAGAGTATCAGACCCTTTTACGACAATCTTTGGAGCGAAAAAATCAGGAATTACGCTTGCTTCGATTAAAACTTAAACCTGAAGGTATGAGGAGATACTGCATACTTTGACAGTTGCACACAAATACATTGGAGCGTGTGTTCATTTAAAGGATAAAAGACCATCTATTTTAAGCTTCAGTAGTCTAAAAACCACCACTTGTGCCCTAGTTTTGAGGTGTATTAACCTATACTTTGGTTTTCTGTTAAAGACTCACACTGGTCTGCAGCAACTTTTAGAGAGAATGCAGACCCTGAGCTCATGAAGTGGCTGAAACAACAAGGAGCAGACTTGGATGCCATTAAGAGGGTAAAAAAAAAAAAAATTTTTAAAAAATCACCTTTTAAAATGAAGTCATTGTAGTCATAATTAGCAGTTTGGTTTAAAAAAGGAATATTAATTTAGGGATAAATTTGCCTTCTAGTTTGCTGAAGAAGATTATACACTAAGTGCTGTCCTTAATGATATCACTAAAGATGATCTGCGGTATCTTCAACTGCGGTAAGAACTAACTTCTTAGTTTGTTGTTAAATAAGTAAGTGCTTAATTGAAGTAGTTGTAAAAGCCTTTTTTAGAAGTCAGGTTATTCAAAGAGGTCAGTGATAGTTGAGTGGCAACTGCTGTGAATTTTACCTCTGATTTTCTGTTAAAGTTTTTCATGTCTTAACTGATGCAGTGTAACAACTGCACACCTCGGGTGCTTTAAGCCATCTAGGTTTTGGCATTTAGCAAGGGTGGGAGCTATTTCTGCACCATTCAGGATGATGTCATCATATGGAAAATAGGCATAAAGAACTTATTTTTCCTACCAATTGATTCAAGTCAAGCCCTTTCATCACCATTCTGCTAACCCCTGGCTGACCTGGAAGGAGTTGTTTTAGCCATAACCTCAAGGCAGTGCAGTGTTTTCTGTGTAGTTGTAACTGGTATAGCCCCAGGACTCCTAGATTTTAATTCTTGCTCACTTTAAAGTAACAGGGACAAGGGAGTTCCCCCTAACTGTTCTCTGTTCTTCTTCATACAGGGGTGGTCTTCTCTGCAGGATATGGAATGCAATATTAAACCACCGACAAACATCTGGTAAGACCTCAGTGCAGAAGGTTAATACTTTGGAAGGAGAATGTGTAATGGGAATAAACAAATGAAAGATACATTCCTAACACTTAAATTATTAATGTATATATGTATGTATAATGGCCTTGCAGGTTTTGCACAATTATGTAGCTTGTTTGACCATCAGTGTAATACACTGTGATTAGTAACAGCTTTTAAGGTAGTGTCAATGCACCTAATTAATTTATTTATGGCAGAGTAACGCAGAAGTCAAATGCCTATCAATCACTGTAACAAAGCATTAGCTGAGGAAAAAAAACCTTTTCTGCAAAGCAGGTATCACACACCTGAACTGGCTTCAGCATGGTGAAAACTGTGAACTTAAGATGTGTTATGGTTTGAGCAGGGAGGGGGTATGCTAGAGTGTATGTATGTCACCTCTTCAAAAGAGGAATGTATATAGCTTTTTGTATTAAAGCTACTCTCCCTGAACTACTCAGAAAAGCCTGGTCTGTTGTTTTCATTTAGTAACTTTTCTGCAGCAAAAACATAGCATCTAAATGCTTCTTTGGTGGTTTTTTGGGGAAAGTGGTTCATCAAGAAACAAAACAAGCAGACTACTAGATAAATGTTGTCAAAGTTTAATTTTTTTTCTTTACACTGTATACAACACATACAGCAGTCCAAAGAAAAGTCAGTAAAGCAAATATATAGCAACTTAAACCACCGCTTTTTCTTAATTTAGCTCCTTTTGAAACAACATTCAACATGTTTAAGAAAATCCATACTGAGATGGATTTGCCTACACATTTCCTCTTTTGAAAGAGCTTTTAAATAAACTTAAGGTTTGTTTCTGCGTCATTATAGTTCTTGTAAATGCATTCACTTGTTCTTATCAATAAATTATGCCAACAAACAGGCCTTTAGCTGACAGACTTGTACCTTATCCACTGGTTTGGGCCACGCACTTCAAAGGGCGGCTCATTGAAGTAGATGTGGTTACCTAGTTCTTCCAACGGTGGCTCCGGGTCAGTGGTCGCAAACTGAGCTGCTTCCTCAATCTCCTTCCTTACTGCCACATCAATTTCCTAAGCCAAAAATGGATTCTTACTCAAAGACAGCTCAGAAAAAGCAGCATAATCATTGCATTTCAATTCAAAATTAAGTTTATCTGTCAGAATGAGTGTTAGCACTATCTACAAACATAAATTAAAACCCTTCCTACTAAACTGCAGCAGTTGTCCCATTCGGATAGTACAGGTAACTTACTCCCAGAGGAACATGACCCCACTGGGCCTCTACCTTTCCAATTCTGAGTCTGCAAAACACTGAGAACATCAGTCTCAGATTTTTTTTTTTTTTAAACAGTTGATAGAAGTATTTACAACGTTTGCTTAGCGGGTTCCTGGCTCCTTCACTGTGATTTTTCACTATTGATAATTTCCCTTTCAGAGACTTACTCCCTCCCTAGGTAGTTGAGAAAGCCCTGGGTAGTTTTGATTTTGACATGTTAGTGTATGACAAGAGCTGTATTTGAAACACTAACACCATCCATACACACAGCCTCATGCTGCTGAGTTACACTCGGTGCCCAAAAGCAAAAGATCTTTCCAGCAGAGTGCAACTTCATTAGTTGGTCTGCAGCAAAACTTCACCTTCACCAAGAAAAGTGATGTTAAAACAAACTTTAAAGAAGTTCAAAGAACAAGTGATGCACGCTGCCCTATGATGTGCTTTTCAGAGATCGTTAGCATATGAATGCTCAAGAGTGTGCTTATACAGGAACTAAAAGCCATACCTTTAATTCTTCAATGCTAGCAAGGTTAGTGTTGACCATTCTGTCCTTCAGCAAAGTAATGGGATCACTTTTGCTTCTCACTTCTTGAATTTCTTCTCTAGTACGATAGCTAGGAGCAAGACAAGCAAAGACAGGCATGAACTTCTTCAGCCGTATCCGTGCATTGAGGAGAGGTTCTGGACACAGCTCGCTCACTTACAAAAAGGTGTGACCAAAGCATTGTCAGGAATGCAGTGAAAACACAGCAACATTCATCACTCAAAGGGTGGCACACCTACATACAGAAGACTTCTTAGATCTGCAAGTGGCAACTGAGCTGACGTAGCACCAGACT